ATACGCTTTTTGATTTCCTGGCTACTGGTGCCAAGAGTGTTGACCATGGAGCCAAGCAGACTAAAGTTGTTAACAATCTCAATCTCTTCACCATCCATCCTGATGCTGCCAGTTGGTCCAGTGGTGAGAATCTTTGTCTTCTTGACACTGAGCTTCAATCCATACTGAAGGCTGCAGCGCAAATAGACCAGACCCCCCAAAAAATCATAGTTAAATTCTCCAAATTATAAAGATAGAATACTCACAGCTCGAGAAAAACAAAGAGTCACCTACGAAGGGGCAACAATTAGGTTAAGTTCTGATTTCTCAGCAGAAACCATGGAGCTAGAAGACAGTGGTATGGCATATATAGAAAGTTGAAAGAAAGCAATATTAGTCAAGTATCGTATACCCAGTGAAGCTCTCCATCAAATATAAAGGAGAAATTAGATCCTTTACAGAAAAGGAAGAACTTGAGAAATGGTGAAAACAAGACAAAACAAAAATTATAAGTGACATTCTTTGCATGGAGACACCAGAGGAAAGTGGATGGACCACAGTCATCAGAAATAACAGAAAAAGAAACATGGCAAAATGGATAAAGTAAAACCTGACTTGACAATAATCACACTTAATGTAAATAAAGGAATTTGTCAATGAAGAGAAAAAGAGCAACAGGATGGATAAAAAAACAAAGCCCACCAATATGTTGCTTACAAGAGACACATCTAAAAAATGGAAAGATAGACTCAAAATCAAAGGCTGGAAAAAAGTATACCAAGCCATGACAAACACAAAAAAAGCAGAAGTGGCAAAACTAATCTCTGATAAAACAGACTTCAGAATGAGAACCTACATAAAAGATAAGGAAAAGCACTACATACTGACTAAAGGCACAACAGATTAAAAAGACGGGACCTTGGTCAACATTTATTCACCAAATGATAGACCTGAGAAATACATAAAACAACCCTTAGCAGAATTCAAGAAAGAAATAAACAGTAACAGTATAGTAAGAGATAGGAGGAGATTTCCACACACCACTATCACCAAAGGATATTGACCTACCTTTAAAAAACCAAAAAAACAAACCAAACAAACAAAAAAGCCCTTAACAAAGATGCAGAAGAGCTAAACTTGGCATTGTGGATGTGTTCAGGGTACTGCACCCAACTAAAACTCAATTAGCTTTCTACTCAAGTGCACATGGTACATTCTCCAGAACTGGTAATATATTAGAACACAAGCTTCAACAAATTCATTAACATTGAAATAATACGAAGTATCTTCTCAGACCACAATGCCATAAAACTGGAAATTAATCACAGGGGTTAAAGCTTACCAAGCCACCCATGTGGAAATTGAATACCTCTCTACATGACTGGGTTATAAAAGAAAGTCTACAGAATCCTGCAAGGCCTCCACAAGAACTAACACAGTTACAAAATGGGCAAAAGACATGGAAAGAATTTTCATGGAGGAATATATTCAAATGATCACGGACACATGAGAAATGCTTAAAATCACTGGCAACAAAAGAGATGCAAATCAAAGCCAAAATGAAATACCATCTCACCCCAGTAGTAGTGGCAAAGTTTAACAGGGCAGCAAGTAATAAATGATGGAGAGGATGTGGCAAGACAGGAATTCTTACATTTTTCGTGGAATTGTAAAATGGTGCAACCACTCTGGAAGGCAATTTGGCATTTCTTCAGAAAGCTGACCATAGACATTCCATTTGACCCAGCTATTCCACTGCTTTCACTTGTTATGCATCAGAGAGTTGGACAATGACTAGGGAGGATAGAAGGAGAATTGACGCCTTTAAGCTGTGATGCCGGAGAAAAGTATTGAATGTACCATGGACTGCCAAGAAAACAAACAGATTCATCCTAGAGAGGGTTAAACCAGGCTACTCCTTGGAGGCAAGGATTCTGGGGCTTCGTCTGACATACTTTGGACATGTTGTAAGGAGAGCCAAGTCCTTGGAGAGAGGGACATCATGCTTGGTAGGGTAGAGGGACAGCGCAGGAGCGGAAAACGCTCTATGAGGTGGATTGATTCAGTGACTGGGGTAATCGGGATGGGTGTGTCAGAGGCAATGCGATTGGCACAGGACAGAGCACAGGGCTGTTGTACATAAGGTCGCTATGAGTCGCAAACGACTTGATGGCACATAACAACAACAACAACATTCCACTGCTTAGAATATAGTCCGAGAGAATGAAAACTGAAGTACCAAAGGAGACTTGTACACCATTGTTCATAGAAACATTATCCACCACTGCAGGAGCATGGAAATAGTAAAACTGTATGGCCACAATCGAATAGATTGAGAAATTATGGTACTTTCACATGATGAAATACTACACATATCCAGATCAATGATTTTGTAAATCACTACCTAAATTGGGAGGGAATGGAGAGCATTATGCTAAGTGAACTAACTAACCCATAAGGACAAATACTATATAAGACAAATTGTAGGATGTGTATGAAGTTTCAAGGGGTGGGGAGAGCAGAGTGGTAGGGATGGGTGGACTGGGATGGGATGTGTAAAGGGTGGTTAATCGAAAAGTTCACACAGTTTTATGCATGGAGGGTGGGGCAGTGAGTAAAGGAAATGGTAAAGATTCTGTGTGAAAAACAGTATATATGAAGTTTGAAAGTAAACCAATACAAAATAAACATTTAATTAAAAGTTTAGTGCTAGTGGCACTTCTTTCACCCTGGATCAGTGTAGAATCATCTGGATTTTTTTAAGAAGCAGATTTGTTATGACCAACATGCATCAGAAAATCTAGTGGAAGGCCAGGGAATTCTGATATGCAACAGGATAAAGAATATTCACCAGAGTGCTGCTAAAAATTACTGTAAAAAACATTAATAAACAAAAATAAATAAAATTCTTTGCCCAACATTGTTGTCTCAAACTTACTCATTTCACTGCCATCAAGGCATTCATGGTGACTTTAACAATGAGTTGTTTCAGTCTCTAGTTCACAGAGGAGATTGCCCACCTACCTTGTTTCCAGAGTCACTAAGGGATTTGAACCATCATTGAAGCACTGCCCTTAGGTAACAGCACAATTCCCTATGGATTACACAGCTATAATTGTTCAAATGTGCTCTAGAACTTTTCCAGTCAGATCATGAGCTATAAAGAATAATGGGGCCTGTAGATTGCATTTCAACAAATATTTTTAAATTTGCTCAGGAACTTTTAAAGTAAATATTTAATATTTAACTTTGTGCAATAATTAAACTCATGAATTCAATATAACTCAATGTAACATGAGCAAAGACTATATGGGGATGATGATATCTGACCTTTACCAATATCTCACATGGCAACTATCCCTGTTAACAGGATCAACAACACAAAACCAATTCCCGTAGGTAAAACATGGCCCTATGCTCCTGTATCTTTTTCTATTCATTTCAACACCAGTTTTTTACTGCTTTACTAGGTCCAAAATTCTGATGTGATAGCTCACAGACCACACAGAATCATACTGGAAAAATCCAAATGTTATAAAGTTAGGACAGCTTCTGAGAAGGCTGACAGGTACCTCAGAGCTTGAGCCTCATGGTTTTGGGCCAGTATTAAAGTCCTCTGTGCTGACAATTATGGCTTTCCCCTCCTCAGTCCTCCAACAAACCAGGGCACAAGGATCTCAGCTCCAACTCTGTGACATGGCTGTCCTAAGATCTGACCTAAGATTTCATGCCAGGTCTCTGGTTCTCTGCTTTGGCTTGTGGCTGTTGCTCCCGTGGGCACTAAAGTCTGGCTGGCACAAGAATCTATGATCCTGAAGGATGAGTTTCATTCTCTTGCTTCTTATTTTCTAGTGATGAGGTTCTCTCAAATCTTTTGCTGGATCTATTCAATTGAATAGTGAAACTAGTCAGTCTTCTTGTGGGTTCTTGAAACCAGCCAATCTTCTTTTGATTAGGTTACATGCCATATTTGCATATTCCTGCCTATCAACATAGCAAAGTAAGTTAATGGATAGGGAAGTAATTTTGAATACTAAATCCTTAACACCACATTCTGCAACTCATTTTCCTCAATATTTCCTTGTGTGGAATTGGGAGTTATTTAAAATTACTTGTTTTGTGTCTTTTGCTATCTTTTTTGCAATTATACATAACCAACTTAATTATTTTAAATGATTTATTTTTCTATGCATGTGTGATTTGCCTAAAATAATGTTCACATAATAAATACTTTATTTTTTAAATTTATTTGGGCTTGTTACCAAATAAACAGTATAGAACTAAAATGTAAATACATAATGGTACAAATTAGTTTTGTATTCTTTATAAGTCTATTAAAAGTTACCTGCCACACACACACAAAAAAAGAAAGAAAGAAATCTTTACAAAACTTTCTTATTTGCCAAGTTATGTTAGTGCATTACTTATCCAGGTTTATATTATCAGACATTCTGATAAGTAAATTACAAAGTGGTGATAATTAATCATTGTTCTGATTTTATCTTTCTAGGGGTATGGTGGCTATATTGCATCAATGATCTTAAAATCGGATGAAAAACTTTTTAAATGTGGGTCAGTGATGGCACCCATCACAGACATGAAGCTTTATGGTGAGTATTTCCTCCAGAATGACCTAATCTTATGCATCAACTTACATAAATGAAATCCAACTGCAGAGAAGCATAACAAAGCTCATTTATCTCATGCTATTATATGATATTTGTATCAGTTTATCATTTCCTTTATTCAATTGATTTTACTGGAGCATGAAAGTTAATGGGAAATGAGAAAAATTAAATAAAGGAATATTCTCATAAAATGGTTTTTGGTTCATTCTGAAGTTTATGTTTTTCTTGGCTCACAGCCTCAGCCTTCTCTGAAAGATATCTGGGCATACCATCCAAGGAAGAGAGCATTTACCAGGTACATAACTTTAATATAATGAAAAAAGAATATATTTTTGTGTTAAAAATCCAGTTAATGCATAGATGGATCAAAATGTATAGAGATATTTGTAATTTTCTTTATAGGCATCCAGTGTGCTACATAATATTCATGGATTAAGAGAAGAAAATATATTGATAATTCATGGGACTGCTGACAGTAAGTATTCTATTCTGTGTCACCATTTGGGGAAGTCTGATGATGTACAATGGGAAATACTGAAGATCTTTTTCATATGAGATTTTGTAAATCTTCTAAGGAAGTAAGCAGAGTTGAAAGGCACCAGGAAATAAATGTATTCTTGCTTAAGAAACACAAAAGAATAAAATAGTAGACCTTGCATGCTGAGAGGAAGGAACTCTTATACTAAGAGATAGAACAACACACTTTTTAAAAATCCCTGTGTTTTATACCTCAATTGTCCAATATCACACTCAATGGCCATTTTGACTTGTGAAACCTTGGGAAGAAAGTAGTGTGACTTAGAAACTGAATTTATAACTGTCTTGTTTTCAGTTAATTTAAATGTGAGTCATATAGTCAGTGACTGTCATACCATCAACAAAGCTCAGTTGTTATTATCTTAGAAGATGTTGTTGTTGATTGCCTTAATTTCAAGAATAACTCACAGCGACCCTATGAACAAAATGCCTGAAGCCCCTCTACAACTATCATTTATCAAAGTTCATAGAGTTTTTGGATGCATGTTACTTAGGAAGTGGATGCCACACCTGCTTCCAAAGAAGATGATAGTGGGATAAAAAGATGTCAGCTGCAAAGGGGAATTCTCAGGAGGCTACCCATTTGAATGAAGTAAAAATAAGCTTTGATTTTTCTAAAAGACCATTTTTAGTACCCCTTCTTATTTTATTCATGATTTCATACTTTGGAGATGCATGTGATGGATATTGCTAGTTATAAATAATATCATTTTATACCCACATGAAGTTTTTAGGACTAAAAGAAATTATATTTTTATTATCCTATGTGATACTTTACAATAGGAGACAAAGTATTTATAGCCCTATTTATAGATGAGAAAAATAAATTTCAAGGAGAGAAGAAAAAGTCATTTACCCAAGGCCACCTGGCAAGTGAGCAAGGGAACAAAAGACTTAAATCGATATTTCTTAACTATTTTACTTGCTTTCACTGAAACACTGTCCTGTTTCATTGTTTTCAACCTTAATACAAGGAATAATCCCTGAATTTTCTATATCAATTGTTATGAAACCAATTTCAGAACTTGACTTTGAAACATGTCACACAGTATCTAAAATTATACCTAAAGCATATAATTTTAAATACATGCTTAAATGAAGAAATAAATGAGTAATAAAAGACATTGCTCCCTTACAGAAGAAAATGCCAATATTATCTGGATAATATTCTCCAGGAAGGTTGCGTCTCTTGCTATCCTTGGATTAGGGCTGAGCTTAATTAATTGCTCCTAAAACATTCTGTATAGAAAGGCAGGAAAGAAACATTTATTGTGAAGAAACCTCCTAAACCCTATTTCAGCCAGATGATCAAAGTAAACATTGACGGCAAAAAGTTGAATGAGGCTTTCTTAATCATTCATGATTTCACCCATCATATCTCTAATATCAAAAGTTAAGGCTTGGGTTTGTTTTTCAGATCTTTCAGTTTGAGAAATGCTGAGCGTGTTCACACAAGAAGCTCTTATGCAAGCAGAGCAAGAGAACAATACCTAATTTAGAATTAAGAAAGATGTGCATCAGGATTCTACCCTGTCGTAATACCTACTCAACCTGTATGCTGAGCAAATTATTAAAGAAACCAGACTCTGTGAAGAAGAGTGTGTCGTCAGGTTTTGAGGAAGTCCCATCAGTAACCTTCGTCATGCAGATGGCACATCCTTGCTGAAAGTGAGGAGGAGTTCAAACACTTAGCTGCATAAAATCAAACACTGCAGGCTTCAATATGGATAGCAGCTCAATGTCAAGAAAACAAAAATTCTCATCACTGGTCCTACAGTTTTATATGGAGAAAGGATTGAAACTGTCAAAAATTCATCTTACTTGGATCCATAATCAGTATACTTGGTACCAACAGCCAAGAGATCAAGAGACTAGGGAGGTTTGCAGTCAGGGAACTCTCCAAGTTATTAAGGACCAATGATGTTAGCTTGAGGACTAAAGTGTGCCTGATTCAGACCACATGGTCTTCATTAAGTTGTTATGCTGCTGACAGCTAATAATGGATAAGGATCTTCTTGTTGTTATGTGCTATCCAGTTTACTATGACTCACAGTGACTATATGCACAATAGCTCTGAACCCTGCTCTATCCTGAGCTTATCTCGCTGTCTCAGACACATCTACCCTCATTACCCAGTTACAGTGATCAATCCAGCTCATCTGGAGTCTTCCTCTCCTACAGAAGAGAGGTCCTCTTCTCCAAGGACTGTTCACTCCTGGCAACATGCCCAAAGTGTGTGAGATAAAGCCTCAGAATGCTTGCATCCAAGGAAAAGCTTGACTTCACCCTCTCCAGGACAGACATGTTAGTTATCTTTGTAGTCCATGGTATGTTCAATACTCTTCTCCAGCATCACAACTCAAAGGCACTCATTCTTCTTCTATCAGCTTTGGTCACTGTACAGTTCTCTGTGACATAGCAAGTAATTGTAAAGCTCATGGCTTGTATCAGGCACACTTCAGTCTCCAGACTGGCATCATTGCTCTTCAGTACTTTGGAGAAGTCTCTAACAGCAGATTTTCACAGTGCAATTCATCTTTTCACTTGCTAGATGCTCGTACATAGAATGTTGATTGTAGAGCCAAGCAAACTATTAGTGGTCTCAATCTCTTCACAGTCTATCCTGATGCTGCCAATCATCCCAGGGGTGAGAATCTTTGTTTTCTTGATGTTGAGCTTCAATCCATATTGAAAGCTGCAGTCCTTTACGTTTTGCAACAAGCACTTCATTTCCTCCTCAGTTTCAACAAGCAGGGTGATGTCATCTGCATAATGCAGATTGATGATGAGTCAACCTTCAATCCTGATGCCACATTTTGCCTCATAGAGTCGAGTCTCCCAGTTACTCTGTTCTTCATATAGATTGAAAAGAAATAGATATAGGGCACATCCTTTGCGCACGCCCTTCCCAATTTTGAATGAGGCAGTATTTTCTTGCTCTGTTCTGACAACTCCCTCCTGGTCCAAGTATAGGTTTCACATAAGCATAATCAAGTGTTTTGGGATTCCATTCTTCTCAGAGTCAGCCACAGTTTGTTGTTATCTACACAGTCAAATGTCTTTTCATAGGCAATGAAACACAGATCGACATTCCCGATACTCTCTGCTTTTAGCCACGATCCATCTGACATTAAAGATAATATCCCTAATACTAAGGCCTCTTAAAACAACCCAGCCTGTACTTCAAGCAGTTCTCTGTTGATGTGTTCTTCCAGTCATTTTTTTATAATCTTCATCAAAATCTTACTTTCTTGTGATATCAATGATATTGTTTGATAATTTCCACACTATACGAGATCACCTTTCTTTGAAATGGGGACAAATATACATCATTTCCTGTCAGGTTGTCCTCCAGATTTCGTGGCACAACTTGGTGAGAAAATCCAGGGCAGCGTCTGTTTGTTGAAATATGTCGGTTGGTATACTGTCAATTCCTGGGTCATTTATGGCTTCTGGGAGATGTAATTGTTTGTATCTGGGTGGTGCAGGGTCAACTGAGTCACCTCCTACCACACACATGGTACCCCCACACTCTACCCTGCCACCCCTCCATATATATAAAATATAAATGATAATATGCCAGTTTTGTGGGGGTTTTTTTTAGTGAAAAAATAATGAAAGAGAGCAGAAAGGTCTTGGAGTGCATTAAAATTTTGTCCCAAGGTACCAAGACATTACATTTATGTTCATGGTAATAACATTTAAAACCTATATGCCATCACACCAAGTCCATCTCATAGCAACCCAGTGTGTTACAGAGTAGAATGGCCTCCCACAGAGTGTTCAGGGTTGTGACCTTTCTGAAGCAGATTTCCAGATCAATTCACATTAAAAAGGCCACTGTGAGCTGGAATCAGCTCAAAAGCAATGAATTTGTGTTTTTACTTCTTTATTTGTATTAATGCTTTGTAAACTAGTTTTTAAGAATGTGATATTATAATTTAAAATCATAAGGCAGAATTCCAGTATGTAATTGACAGCCCTTGTAATCTTTACAAGAAAAAGAAAGTTCTTTTCCTGAATTCATTCCAAGAACAGCGTTTGCAATGTTAAAATGTGTGTAATGATATAAAATATATGAAGAATCAGAAATAATAAATGGTATCCAGTAAAGTCACTCTAAATGCCACGTTATATAATAAGTAGAGACTTAGTGGTATCTTCCATTTTTGCTTACTTTTTTTTAAAATGAGGAGCTCAACATTTTAAATGCCTTTATGCTGACTGGCTTTCACGTTAAGCCTCAATATTATTCTTGTAACTGTTTAACATATGTAACACAAAATAAACTCTTTGAAAGCAGTGCTATGAAAAGAATCCTAAAAAAAATAAAACAAAAAATTAAAATCCAACAGAGTCCTAAGTAAACTTCCTTCACTCAACTCTCATTTCATTTCTTGCAGCAAAAGTTCATTTCCAGCATTCAGCAGAATTAATCAAACACTTAATAAAAGCTGGAGTGAATTATACTATGCAGGTAAGTACCTTTTCAGAAGAATATGTTTCTTCCTGCAGTTTTTTAGTTATAAGGTACAAATCACACATTTGCTGGATTTCCTGTGAGCCACAGCCCCTAGTTCTCAGACCAGTAAGACTCAGCTCTGTGGAGACTCCCATGGTCATCTTTAAGAATCATTCTTTGAATGTGTAGTCAAAATGTCATCTTTAGTAAGTTCATAAGATATATACTTTAAATCTGGTTCTTTAAGTGGATTAAAGAGAGTGTTTTGACCTAACAAAAGACAATTTATCTCCCATACTCTAAGGCCATCTATTCTATTTTCCATTATCTCTATCATCTCTCTCTCTCTTAACATCTTACCTTCTTTATCATTAAAACCATGCCATTTTTAAGTTATTTTTAGTCCACTATATATAGTATTCTTTCTTCCTAATTATACTGATAATGTGAATTAGTTCATGCATGATCAGTAAGTTGAATAAATTCTTGCAAAGGTGTCTTTATTTTTCCTCCCCCAGATTTTTATTACTAACACAATTTTCTATTCTTTTTTCATTATTTTTTTAAAATCACACTTAGCATAAATCACAAACAAAAAAAAAAAAACAAAAAACATTGCCAGTAAGCAAATTCTGGTTTTTAGAAAGCTAGTAGGAGAGAGAACTTTAGTTTGCTTGGCTCCCCAATCAACATTCTTGGCACCAGCAGCCAGGAACTTAAAAGACATATTGCTATGGGAAAGTCTGCTGTTAGAGACCTCTGCAGAGTACTGAAGAGCAATGAAGTCACTCTGAGAGTAAGGTGTGCCTGATACTGGCCATGGTCTTCACAATCACTTGCTATGCGTCAGAGAGCTAGACAATGACTAGGGATGATAGAAGGAGAATTGATGCCTTTGAGCTGTGGTGTTGGAGAAAAGTAGTGAATATACCACAGACTGCTAAGAAAACAAATAGGTTCATCCTAAAGAGGGTTAAATCAGGCTCTTCCTTGGAGGCAAAGATTCTGAAGCTTTGACATTATTTGCACATGTTGCAAGGCAGGATCAGTCCTTGGAGAGGGATGTCATGTTTGGGAGTGTGGAGGTATAGTGCAGGAGAGGAAAGCCCTCTCTGAGATGGATTGATTCGGTGACTGGGGTAATGGGGGTAGGTATGTCAGAGACAGTGAGATTGGCACAGGATAGAGTAGGGCTTAGGGCTATTGTCACTATGAGTCACAGGCAACTCAACATTACACAACAAAAACAGTAGTAGGAGAGAGTTGAACTGCCCATATAGTTTCCAAGGCTGGTGAAGAAGGAGGAGATTCAAGTAATGATGGAATTGGCCAAAAATAAAGATGGAAAACAAATTGACATATTTCAACAAACAGATTCAGCCTTGGAAGTGCTTACCAGTGCTGTGCCAAGAAATCTGGAGGACAACCACTTGGCCAACTGACATGAAGAGATTTATATTTATTCCTTTTCAGAGAAAAGATTCAGCAGAGTGTAGAAATTATTGAACAATAGCACTAATATCACATGCAAGCAAAATTCTTCTGAAGATTATCCAAAGTGACTGGAACAGTACAACAGAGAACTACCAGAAATACAAGCTAGGTTTAAGGCTGTAGCACTAGGGACATCATTGACAATGTCAGATGGATCTTGGCCGAAAGCATAGTACCAGACAAATAAGTGTCTGTGTTTCACTGACTACACAAAGGCATTTGACTCTGTGAATCACAACAAATTGTGGCTAACCTTAAGAAGACTGAGAATCCCAGAACACTTGATTATGCTTATGCAAAACCTATACTTGGAACAGGAGGCAGTCATTATAAACGAGAAAGGAAATACTACATGTTTCAAAAATGAGAAAAAGAATGTGCCAGGGATGTGTCCTATCTCCACATCTTCTCAATTTATATACAGAACAGATTATTAGAGAAGTTGGATATATTATTATAAGGAACAATGTTATGTCAGGATTGGAGGAAGACTCGTCAACCACCTGCATTATGCAGTTGATATGCTCTTACTAAAACTGAAGAGGGCCTGAAACATTTGCTGCAGAGGGTCAAAGACTGTAGTTTGCAATATGGATTGAGGGTCAACATCCAGAAAATGAAGATTTTCACCACTGAGCCAATTGGCAGCATCAGGATGGATGGCGAAGAGATTGAGATTTTTCACAGCTTCAGTTTGCTTGGCTCCACAGTCAATACTCTTGGCACCAGTAGCCAGGAAATTAAAAGACGTATTGCCATGGGAAAGTCTGTTAGGGACCTCTTGAAAGTACTGAAGAGCAATGGTGTCTCTCTGGAGACTAAGGTGTGTCTGATACAGGCCATGGTTTTTGCTATCACTTGTTATGCATCAGAGAGTGACTAGGGAGGATAGAAGGAGAATTGATGCCTTTGAGCTGTGGTGCTGAAGAAGAGTATTGAGGGTACCATGGACTGCTAGGAAAACAAACAGATTCATTCTGGAAAGGGTCAAAACTGGCAGCTCCTTAGAGGCAAGGATTCTGAGGCTTTGTCTAACATACTTTGGACATGTTGTAAGGAGGGACTGGTCCTTGAAGAGGGATATCATGCTTGGTAGGGTGGAGGGACAGGGCAGGAGGGGAAGGCCCTCTATGAAGTGGATTGATTCAGTGACTGGGGTAATCGGGATGCGTGTTACAGAGACGGTGCAATTGGCACAGGACATAGCAGAGTTTAGGGCTGTTGTTCATAGGGTCATTATAAGTCACAAGCAACTCGATGGCACATAACAGCAACAACAACATGTCACATACATTGGGCAGGCATCCTGGAGGGACCCATCTTTGAAGAAGAAACAGTCTCAAACAGTCGAGTGACAGCACAGGAGTGGATGAACCCCAGATGAGATGAACTGACACAATAACTAGAGTAATGAGGATAGATGTTCCAGAGACCATGATACTGACCAGGGATAGAGCAGAGTTCAGAGCTATTGTGCGTAGGATCACTATGAGTCATAGTTGACTCAGAGCTATTGTGCGTAGGGTCACTATGAGTCATAGTTGACTCTATGGCACATAACAATAACTACGCACTGTATTCTTTATACATCATTATACTGATAATATGTATTAGTTCATACATAATCAGAAGATTGAATAAATTCTTGCAAAAGTACCTTTTTTCCTTCTCCCCCAGATTTTTATTATTATTAGTTACAACTTGCTGTTTTTCTTTTAAATATTTTTAATCACACTTCACATAAAAGCACAACCCAAAAAACATTATCAGTGAGTCAATTCTGGTTTTTAAAAAGCCAGTAAGAGAGAATATAATTGCCCATATAGTTTTCAAGGTTCAAAGAATACAAAAAGGGGGAAAGTCTACCTTCTTTTTTTTCATTTATGCCAACAAATATTAGCATTAAGAAAATAACATAAATCTGTGGTTCATCAAATATCAATTATGTTATGCTTTTGATTTAATTATGCCTACCATAAAGAACTCGGGTTTTTATTAGGTGGAATTGTTTCTGTTAGATATGACTTCCTAAAGGTTCTATCTCTCTGGAGCTAAAAGAATGATCTAAGAAGGAAAAGAGAAGGACTGCTTGATAATTTGACATTTCCCCACTTCGTCCATATCTTAGGTCTACCCAGATGAAGGGCATAATGTGTCTGAGAAGAGCAAGTATCACCTCTACAGCACAATCCTCAGATTCTTCAGTGATTGTTTAAAGGAAGAAATACCCGTGTTACCACCAGAGCCAGAAGAAGATGAATAATGGACCCTATTTATATTGGACCGAAAGGGATATTGAAGCTCCATGGAACCTAACCAAGAGACTGTAATGTTGCAGATGCTTCAAAATTTCAAAGGGGCAGCTTAAGGAGATGACACGGGAACAGCACACACAGAGACGATGAAATAGAATGGAAGGCAGGAGTCCAATCTACTGTGTTGTCGAGGGTGCAGAACCTGTTTCTTTGTAGAAGGAAGGTCAAAGGGTTGGTTTCCCAGAAGAAATTAGTTTTGCATTAAAGTAGGAGCAGTGCATGTTTTCTTCTGTTATTCCCCCAGTTTATTCTGTAACTAGTTGCTCTCATTTTTATTTTAATGGCCACCATTATATTTGCATATAATATACATTTGACCTATACAATGGACCCTGGTCTCTGATGGCTGAGCTGCAGTCTAACACTTTACTGTATCCTTTACAATAAGTGCAATTCTTTCATTGTCTATTATATGCTTACGGAGATGTTCGGTTAATAAAAATACAGAGTATTTTATGTAATTCTGTTCTTAAAAAGGCATTATTATATGGGTTAAAGAACATGTAGAAATAGGAATTTCAGCACCTTTCAAAGTTCAGCCATTGATTAATAGATACAATATCTTTAAATCAGCACATAAGTGTATGCCTCACAATGTATCCACACACACGTGTGCATACGCTGTCTCTAAAACCCTCTCTACATGTTATTCAAGCAAAAAGGAGAAAATTTTGATGAATTAGAAGAGATACTCTTTTACAGACTATAATGAATGATTTGTTTAATGAGCCAAATATGATAAACATTTTTTGCAATTCAAATTCTAGGTATTGCTTTCCTATAAATAAATGTTTGGGTTGTGTTTGGTATTGTTTTTAGTGGTTAATAGTTTTCTAGTTGCAATTTGATTTTTTGGATATGATATCTTGTCACATGTAAATTAGATACTTAAATATTAAATTATAGTTTCTGATAAAGAAATTTTGTTAACAATGCAATGCCACTGAGTACTATTTTGCTCTTTTGGTAGAGAAGGCTTTTTTAAAACACTTGGTCCTTTTACTTCTCTTTCTCGATACAGAATCTATTCTCATTTTCCTTGTAAACGAAATGAACTTGATTCTTTCATTTGCCAATTCTTATGTCATATTGGAAGCATGCCCAATACATCTGTTGCTGTTTGATTTAAACCCTTCTGGTGAGAATAAGAAATGAAATATTTTTTATTCATTGGCCAAAACGTTCTTCAACAGAAGTAATTACTATTTATTTTTAATCAAAGACTAAAATAAAGGCATCAATTCCTGTACTCTGCTAACTTGAAATAGTGAGTAGCTGAAGGTGAAAAATATACTGGACCTTATAAAGTCAGTTTTAATCATGAGAATATTAACATTGGTGACTTAGGTCAAAGATTATTTTATCACTTCACTTAAGGAATAAACCAGAAGATGTCTAAAATCTATGGCCAACCCTCCAAATTCTGATAAATATAGGCAGTATAACATGTGATTGTCATTTTAAGGAAGGCATTAGGATAGAACAGATCATGATGGTCTGAGAAGAACCACTGAAATGTGAAGAATATATTCAGTTACACACTTGTTTATGGAAGGATCAACCCAAACTTGAGTATTTGAAAACATGTGAATCATGGATTGAGTAGTCCACTTTTCCAAATACTTTGAATTGTGTTTTTTTACTGACCCTCTGGATTTAACTTAAAATACAGAAGTATCTCTTTTGAAAGAGTCATTTCAGGTCTTTTTCACAAATGGTAAATGGTTGGTTTTGTTTTTGGCTTTTTTTTTTTAAAAAAAGAAAATAAGTTATAATGTTTAAAAGGAAAATTGTGCCTATTTTATTAAGATGGAAATTTCTTTTTGATCTGATTTGATGTCCTACTGAAGTTTTTAAATCAGTATTTTAAACTTTAACCACTAGAGTTTTTTATGATGCAAATAATTATGTTGTCTGAAAGATGTGCTTTATGGATGTCTACTTGAGTAACATTTTTTAAAGTATTTAACTTTTACTGCTCATTATTTCTCTTGTTTTATTATCATCATCAGTGTTGATCTATTTTTTTTAGTTAATTATTTCAATAGAGTTTCTAATTTAGGGGCTGCTTTTTGACCTTACAGACAAAAAATACCTCAAATGAAGACCTCTCATTCAATGAGAAGAAAAAAAAATAATAAACCCCCTGAACCTTTGAATTTTAGTAATTAAACCACTTTAGATGAAGTGAATGTTGACCAACACAACTCAGTATTATGGAATCATGACACTGAAGGTTTCCCTTTACACATATACCCCTCTATCAAAACCTCTCTGATTTATGTGCATTCCTAGAGAGCCTTAGGGTGGAGTTTTAGAATTGCATGCACCGCACCAGGAGCCATCACCTCATTTACAGCCATATATCTGTCATAAGAGGCTTGCATGTAACTTTGATACAGAGCAAAATTCAGCAGTTTTCAGACTGAGATAGATTAGGAAGAAAAGCCTGGTGACTTTAGAAAAATTAGCAGAGGAAATCCTTATGAATCACAGTGATCTAGCTGATCATGGCTATTTCTCAGGACTGAGAGGCTTTTGTTATTGGTGGTGGTGTCTTTAGTCAGGGATAGCTAATCACACAGCAAGCAAGAATGTCCTATGAATCCAGCAGCAGACTTGAAGAGTGTATTTCTTTTCCCTTAAAGTTAAATTTTAAGAAAGTCAGAATTTTTCAGTAAAACAGGTAAGCAATCTACAGAGATGACCAAATATCCTCTAAAAACTATTCTTGAAAGGGATAGTGTTTGCTTGTTTTCTTTTAACTGTTCTTGCTTTTGTTTCCCTTTCCACATTTCTTGCTTTGGATCAGAAGCTTTAAAATATAAATTTTAGAGAAACTGTGCTCACTGGTTTGGGTATCCTGACAACTAAGGGGAGGGAAATCCACAAAACACGTCTCAGGTCACTCTAAGAATATGACTGTGTAGCTTGGATGTTTGGAATATAAATCACCACTACCATGTCACACATGCTGATGGTCTATCAGAATCAAATGATTTTCCTACATTGGTCTTTGCTTTACAGAGAATGATTTACTCAATTATCCTTCATATAGGTGGGCTTTGTACAAAGGTACCTGAAATCCAGTTTCTTGCAAGTCTCTAGGTTCATTAAAGTCACATGACTTCTGTAGAGAATCATGCATGCCTCTGTCTTTCCACCTCTGCTCTCTTCACATTCACATCCCATAATAACCAGCACTAACAATGTAACCTGACATCTCAGCTAGTCGGCCTGTCTTTCTCCTTCTGTTCTGAGAATGCCGTGATATCCATGGCAATCAGCTAGAACCAACCAGGTCTATGAAAGGATGTTAATATCCTACTGGAATTGTTCGTGAACACAGAGATTCTTTTCCATAGTCACTTGTCAATAAAACGGATTGCAATATTCAAAGCACTTTGTTACAGACCTGGGAGAGCAGAATCCTCTCAAAAACTGCCTCCCGAATAGGAAATTCAGGAGAGAAGATGGCGGAGGAGGAGAGCACAGTGTGAAGAGCCAGAGCTATAGCAGCCTGCGTAGAGAGGATACCAGAGAATACTTTACGCTCCACAGAGACTGACCATCACAGCGTGATGCTAACAGTAGGATTTTGAATCAGAACTTTAGCTAATACATTATTTTAGAAGCTTTAAAATCCGGAGCCCTGCCTGCCTGCCCTGCAG